CCAGCGTCACCCGAGGACCGTGTGCAAGTATTTTACGATGACCTAAAACACGAGCTTTATAATGGCATGCTTGCAGACAAGACTGATCTAGAGAATATCGATGAGCCACTGAAAATCTGGTTGAGGCTCGCTCGATCTTACTGCGATGTAATGAATGTGGGAGACAATTCTACAGGATTCAAAATTAAATTGATGCTAGACCTTTTAGTGGGTATATTGTCAGCACCGATTCAGAAGCCACTACTCAAAACATTAAATCATCAACCTGATCCACACCGACAAGTGATAAAGCTATTTGATGAACTTCGAGCCGATCCAGAGTTCCGGAGTTTCGCAGTGGATGTACAGCGAATGACTTTATTGGACTCCACCTACAAGACATTGGTCTTTGAAGAATGGACACGAAACCTTAATCTTCCAGAAGATATGCTTCCCATTTTTGTTGATACGAAATTTGAACCTTTCAAAAATCCACTTTTCTTGGCGTGGCTTAATTACGTCGACTGGTACTGGACTTTTGCGAAAGATCAAAGATTAGATCGATACATCAAGCTCATACGCTTCCTATGCACATTCAAAGGTAAAACACAGATGGATGGGATAGTTACATTACAAAAATTTATCAATGCATTTCCGGAAAATGCTGGCCACGTCAAAGCACTACAGTATGCTTAGGAATTTGAAAAGTGGATGAAAACAGAGATACTCACGGTTGACAATTCGAAGATGATACAAGATGTGTTACATGGTAAATCGCTCACAAAGAATGACGAGTTGACGTGGATTATTCATTATGTCAATACCGACAAGGAGAATTTTCCAAACTCTAACTTTTCTAAATTGTTAGATTTTTTAATATCCATGGTCGGATTTGATAAGCTGGTTGAACTGTTGAAATCATTGAACGAAGACTTGGAACTGAAGCAGCTAGTACGAAGCTTGCTGATCCTCATGTTTTCTTCTGGCAACATATTTCAGTTAATGAAAGCCAATGTCACCGCTGACCAATACTACTCCTACCTTGTCATGACAGCTAAATTGTTTGCTTTGTCAGAACACCCAATTAATGTGCAATATCAATTCGACAGATACGCTATTGAGTTGAACAAGGACAAGAAGTACAAGATGTCAGCAACCGCTAGCCGTGACAAAGCGTTAAATTACATGCAGCAGAATCCTGACCCCAAAGCTTCGACTCAGATGATTAAGCGGCGGCAGCCACTTGGTAAGATTAGACGTGAGTTTCATTAGAGAAAGAGGTTGCTATCACAAATAGAACGCTTGCCGAGCCAAAACTTCCTAGCTTGCGATAGACAGTGTGTTTTGTCAAAGAAAACCTAGCGTGTGATCAGACTTAACTTGAAACACTGCTTGGTTCAGTTTGAAGGCTTTCAATCGTATCATTTCCACTTGACATTTCCTCAGCTTGGCATATTTAGAAGCTGACAGTGTGGGGAATTATTTAGCTCTGGAACTGAACTCGGAAAATGATACCATCCTATGTATGGCTTGACTTGAACGCGATATGCCATTGATCACCTTGGAATCAAAACATTGAAAACCACACATTTCGTTACTAGTGGAAATCTGTTAAGCCATGAATCCAACTCTGCTAGGAAGCCGAAGCGCATGAGCGCAGACATTAAGGTGTGAGAACCCTAGGTGCAAACATAAGCGTGATAGAATAGTCGCTGCGCTGTGAGCCACGGTTTTCGGATGCGATAAAATTTTGCGTATGAAAGACGCAGGCTGCAGAGCTAGATCTGTTGGAACAGTAATTCCCAAATATGACCTTTAAGAGGTGACTGTGTATTGTGGTCTGCCGAATAAATGTGAACCCGCGGAGACAAATCTTAATTACAGCAGTTTAGCATTGCGGTCTCCAGACCAACTTTGTGGAGAAAAGTGACTGATAGTCACAAGAACAAGGCTGAGTGCTGAAGTCAATCAGAATTGTCCATCTTTTGAAAGGTGTAATTGATATATGTAGTCAGCAACACTGAGTGACGTCCCAGCCTTCAGGATCCGCGATTTTTTTGCGGAATTTTTTTCCTAGAGTGACCTTTATGGTCTAATGGGTTGTTTGTCTCCACACACCACTAGTCGTGTCATTTGTAGTAAGTTGGTTTTTGCTTTTTTCTTGGCAGATGTCTCAGTCAGCAAACCATGTTGGATGTTAAAAGCTGCTTCATATGCGGAATCTACAGACCTGCTTGCGATCAAGTTGTACCCTTCGTTCGAAGCCGTTTGCTTAATCTCGATCATTCAATCACGCACATTATAGTCGAAATTGGGCGGCATGTAACGCTTTTTCAGCTTGCCTTTAAGCGTTCCACGTCAAATAAGCATTAGCCGCTCGAATTTCCACAACGAAGGTCGTTTGGAATCAAATTTGAACAGACGTCCTCAAGTTGCTCGAGACTTTCTTGACAAAGTGAGTCTGCAAGTATGAGATGCTGTTTCCGCTACCTTGTTGCAATTTCCAACTCTACATTTTCTGAAAGCTTTACTTGGTATAATGGAGAATCTTTAGTTTCAGTTCTTACTTGTAGATTCAGCACTCGGCTGAACGGTGAGCTTGTCTGTTTTGCACTGCAGTTAAGCTCGCGTCTACACGTTTCTGTCCATGAATTATAGTATAGACTGCTTGTTGACCATTATATTTGACGTCTTTGTTTTAAGACTTTTTAGTATATTTCTCTTCTTTTTACGGATGGAACAATTCCAAGTGCCTACTGAGACCTCTTCGACATCATCGACAAATTGCAGAAACAAATTTATCGTAGCTTGCAAGAGGTCAAATTTGAACAAATCAGGGGTTTTGTTATGGACTGACTTGAGGAGCTTTTGCTGTTTAAACGTAGTTGACTACAGATTGAGTTTTTCGAAGTTAATTGGACGGCAGTGAGTATCGTGTTGTTGATTTACATGTCCTTAGAAGGTAGCTAGTGTAGATTGATACTCACTGTTTCCGATGGCGGGATATGTGCTTAAAAAGAGACACTGATAGTCTGTTAGAAGTATGCAAATGACTCTTTTGCTAGTGCTGTCGATGTTTTCGATTTCTACCAAGGTCAGTAACGACTTAATAAACAAATTTAAACGAGATATGAAGTCTGTGTGCATTCATACCTCTTAAAGTGACTAAATGGCAGTAGGAAGCATTCAAGTCAACACATGAGAAAATCAAGACAACCAAATCCTCTCTTGCTTCATAAAAGATTGGGTCTAACCTTCCCACGTGGCCGCCCATGCTTGATAGAGTCGAAGCTTTGAGGCCCGAAAACCACTCTTTTCCGAAATCTTGAGCATTGTTGAGACGCGTTCGGCTTCACACCTTGTTCATCTGCTCTTCAATCATCGATTTGTATTTGGAAAGCTGATGTGCTGCATCAAATGGGTATTTGAGCTGATTAATCGCAGAGGATACTTTAGTAAGATTTCACGAGTAATCCAAATCGTCGACTTTGGCCTACATTAATGCTTGAAACATGGATTCAGAAGAAAACATGGAGAGCAGCATGTCTTGAACTAATTGTTTCACTTCTAAGTCATTTTTGTGTGCTATCAGCAGATCCACCAGCTCATCAAATGTAAATCGGGATTTTAAAAAGTCGAACAGTTCGTTGTCGTCAAATAGAGCATGATGTCTGTAGGTATTGACGTAATGAAGTATCCACTGCGGCTTGTCATTATTTGTAAGTAGCTTCTCTCGCAATTTTTTTGATATGTTTCCATATTGTTAAAATCGACATTATAAGGCACCACTTGCCGGATCTTCCAAGCATCCTGCATTTCTTTTTCGAACTCATCACCAGCGTTGAGCGGAAAAACAGCGATAAATGTTGATGAATCAAGCATGTCATCAATCGTGTTTCGGTTTAAATAATCCTGTAGCAAGTGAATGAAAGTGATGTATCGATCTAATCTTTGTTCTTTCGATTTAGCCCAGTACCAGTCGACGTAATTAAGCCACGCGATAAACAGTGGATTATGGAGAAATTTTGTAAAATCCGAACCAATGAAAAATGTAAGCATATTTTCTGGACGATTAAGGTTTTGTGTCCATTCATTAAAGACCAAAGTCTTGTAGGCGGAATCGAGTACCATTATTCGCAGTACATCCCTTGCGAGACTGTTGAGCTGTACATCGGCTCGAAGTTTACCAAATAACTTCACTATTTGTCGGCGCGGGTCAAGTTGGTAATTGGACATTTTAGATAGTGGCTCTTGAACCGGTGCTGAGAATCTGTCCACTAAAAGTTTCAGCACCTTTTTGAGATCGATTACTGTAGGATTGTCTTTCATATTCCGGTGCAACTGAATGTCCCTCAACCAGGCTTTCAGCGACTCGTCAATCTCAAGATCAGTCTTGTCTTCAAACATGATATTATAGAGTTTAGTTCTGAGTTCATCATAAGCGCCATGCTGAGGCGTTTGTTCGAGAGAGGGATTCAATTCCAATTGAGCCCCGTCAATCAACTGTTGCAACTCATGCGTTTTATGAGTTTCCAAATGTTATGTTTCTCGTGAAAGACTCTTCAGTATACCAGCAAGAAATTTTTTTAGCCCCCTTTCTTCATTCGCTTTGTCATTAATATGGGCCTCGTTATCCACAAGTGTGACATTAAATCTGAGCGCGTTACCTGATATTGCGTAAGCTTCGTGTGGCGATGTGCCAAGAGGAGTACGTTCGTTCGTGTCTGAGTCATTACATGGTTTTGCTCCCGCTTTGATCGCAAAGCAAAAATTCGATCCCGTTAATGTACACGCGCATGTTAAGGAAAATATGTTCTGCATTACTATTATGTTCATGTACATAAGAAACAAAAATTGATTGGATGATTATGCAGTCACGTACGACACATCGTAAATAGTGTTGATGACACGAATTAGTTTCACATTTACAATAATTGTTAATTTTGCACTCAAGAAGAAATTTTGCAGCAAATTTTTTGGACATTAAACAAAAATTCCTTATTGGAGTGTGAGATGGGGTGTAAATAGGTTAAAGTTCAGCACTGTTGTCGTCTTGATATAGGCCATTATATAAACACTCAAAAGACATCAAGTTTAGATATACTGTACTCATTAGGTTCCGAACGGATTTTGGCGGTAAGAAATCCAAAGCCTCAATCATGAGCTGAAACGATTCGTGTGATGATACTGAAATTGTGATCTTTGTGAAAGGTCCGAGTATATTTTACTATGGTCAGCGACATCATTGCTTGAAGTGAGGGATTAGTCTATCTAATTATGATGCCAACATAGCTGGTCGGTCTGTATGGCTTCAGCGGTGACAGCAAAGATCCTGCGCACCTCGTTTTATTGCTTGACACCCGACTAGACATGTCTACCGCTGACCACCCACAAACAGATGGTCAAATAAAGTGCGTTAATCACATCAAGCACATACGCGGAGCTGCTTCGGTGCTGATGCGACATAGTACATATCTTAAAGTGCTGAATAATGCAGTTCTTGCCTGTTCAGGTTTTACCCCATTTAATAATAATGCGTTGGTTAGCCTTTGACACCACGAAATGGCTCCAGGAGAGGCTATCAATACCCAGGATGAGTTCGCTTACTCCAAGAGTTATTATTGCCTTCTCAAGGCTAATTGACTTTTCGTTTAAAAATCCAGATTTGATATTTATTTATTTTTTATTCTTATTTTAAAAGTTTTGATTTTCCTAAATATAATAAATATATATAGTAAAATCTAAATACATGCATGACTACTGGCTACCTAACCACATACCGTATTCGTGTTTGGGTGCAGTCACACCATGCACATCTCGTATGAGACACACCTCTGTTACTAGGGTACGTGTAACCCCGTTACACCCTCCCCCATTAAGATTAAGAACATTTAAAAATCTAATCGACAATTGCCTCGACGAGGCTCGCGTGTCCGTTAGACACTGTGTTGGAATTTAACAACTTCCTTGCTCAATGAGCTCTATGTCCACAAAACGAAAATCACCAAGTCTCGCTGGTTCTGACAGCGAGCATGGGCAGAGCCCAACTCTGTGTCCCGCACACGGTGCGGTGTCGGACAGTGCGTTCGCAGGACCGGATAAAATACATCCTAGGCTTGATGAGCACGAGCGTCGCGCTTTGCGCACAATTACGAGCCCTGCTCGC